GTATCCCAGATAAATCCAGTGAAGAGTGATTGTATAGTTCCGAGTCCGACGATGTAACGGACCGCGCGGCCAATTTCGAAGGCCCCGCCAATAAAGACCTTGAAACCTTTGAAACGTCAAAGCGACCTCTTCCGCCCAACACGTACGTTAGACACCGACTCGCCGGGAGTTGAGCCCCCGGTTACCCCCGACCTGGTTTGGTCCGCCTGTCAAGCGGTTTACCGGGGTGTGATCGCTGTTGAATCCAAACAGCTTCGTGGAGCCACAGGTCAAAGCTAAGCGCCTGGTGGAGACCAAAAAATGGAGGATGTTCCAAAAAGGATCCTCCGAGTCAGAGGTGCTACTCCTACCGGGTACCCCATACACCAAGTCGCCTTCATATTACTCGAGATTACTCGACCCGCAGTACGCCCGTTTGTTAGTGCACGCATGCATTTGTGAGCTAACTGCAACACTGTTGTATTCTCAGCCGGAAAGGAACCATTGAGTTTTGACAATCACAACTTTGCGATCTCGGATGTCCCTATTTGAACGAAGAAATAGACAGATGATTGGAAGCAGTGTCCAGGTGAAAATAGAGAATTTGTGGAGTCTCTATACATATTTCGACCGGGGTCTTTTTAGAATGACTGTTTTGTGATCGGGCAAATGTTTTAGATTGTGAAGTCGGTAGCACTATTTTGGGGAAGTGCCACGTGAATTCCGCGTCTGTCATAGTGCCCATTTTATGGTGCGCGTGCTCCCTTATCAACAGGCTGTAAATAAATCACCAAGTAATTTGATCCGTTTCAATGTTGCCACCCAACAAAAATTCTCCAGTTCCAAACGATTAACACATTCTATATCCACACCTTAAAAGGTGATCTTCGAGGCTTGGTCCTGTTTGTCATAACTTTGTCACACTTGCAACAGATGCATGAGCTTTGTAAACATCACATCTAATTGAAATCTCAAAGTCAATATCGTCCGTATATAAATATATATATATATATGGTCGTACTGTTTTAACCGGCAGCATTCACAACTCTCTCTCTCTCCCTCTTACATTTTCTGAACGGTTGTAGGCATTAGAAGTGCAATACGGCTCTCCCAATGTGCTCCTGATCGGTGCAGTCGCGCTCTTTATCAGTTTGTCCACAATCGCATTGTTGCTTGTGGCCTGCTTCTGGTGGGTCGGAGGTTTTGATCGCCCTGTAGAACACTCCGCGGAGACGGAAAACGAGGAGGACGGGGTAAACACGGGTGACAATGAGAGCGGTGATACACATCCGGTCGGACGAACAGGCTTCACCAGACGTGCAGACCAGTTACCTCACGAGGCCGGAGACGATGGCGGGGCACATCGTTCGCGCAAACCAAAACATGACTAATTCAGAGGATCGATCCAATCTGTGTTTGCACTAAAATCATCTGTTTTGTGTTTCTCACACTACGCATACCGGTGTACTGCGTTGCGTGTCGGAAGACTAATCCGAA